AGGACTCAAGCCATCCAGCCCTGCAGAAATGACTTAGAGAATTATGGCTGGGCATCATGTCTCAGCCCTTATCGAGGACTTCTGTGAGAAATGACCATGTACAGAACATCTCCACTGTTTTAGCAAAACAGTTTTGCCTCTTTTTGTTATTGTTGTTATTTAAAGACTTAGATGTTTTCATGAAATCTTGGAGAAGAGGTCTCTTTCCTAAGTAACTGGTGTGGTTGCTCCCTTTAAATCACAGGTACCTTAGGCCTGTCTGCCTTCGACTATAGAATTACTCGGAGTAGATTCTCTTTGGCCCAGATTTCTGTGCATGATTATCTTCCTTCTTCTCTCACCTAATGCTTCACTCTTCTAAACTATTTTTCTTATTTAATTGACTTTTAAAAAATTGATTTGTACAGTTTTTCATTTATGTATCCCAAAGCTTTTTTTCTTTATTATTATTATTATTATTATTATTTATACATTCAATCACTATACATCATTTAGATTGTAAAGAGACTTTACCCAGAAAGATATACACCTCAGTCCAGTTGAGAATACTATACACATCCTCATCAACAGATAATAAACCATATCTATGTCCCACAAATATCTTACGTCTCTATTTTCCCCCAAAATTTCCTTTCCTGCACCCTTCCCCTCCCACACTCTCCTTCCATTTTGTCTCTAGTTTCCATAACTATTTTTAATGTTTTTATGTCTTCCAGTCTTCCAGTCTCTACCATACAGTGCAAATAGTTAGTAATGTTAAGTGGAGATATACAATGTCTTTCATAACCTGACTTGCTTCACTCAGCAACAAATCTTCCATATTTGTCTACTTTCTATCAAATTCCAGGGCTTTATTGTTTTTGATGGCTGAATAATAGTCCATGGAGTATATATGTCACACTTTTAAATCTGTTCATCTGTTTGTGGACATTTGGGTTGGTTCTATGTCTTAGCAATCGTGAATAATTCTACAATAAATATAGTTGTGCAAGTGCTTTTCTGACTGAGCGTTCTCCTGTCCTTTGGGTAGATACCCAGGACTGGAATTGCTGGATCATATGGTAGTTCTATTTGAAGGTCTTTGAGGAACCTCTATATTGTTCTCCACAGCGGCTGGACCAATTTACGTTCCCACTAACAATGTAGGAGTGTTTCCTTTTCACCACATCCCCTCCAGAATTTATCATTTTTTGTTTTTGTTTTCAATCTTCACCATTCTGACTAGGGTTAGGTGGTATCTCATTGTGGTTTTGATCTACATTTTTGAGCATTTTTTCATATGCTTCTTGGTTGTTCATATGTATTCCTTAGAGAGTTGCTTATTTGGCTAATTTTCCCCTCTTTTAATTGGGTTAATCATTTTCTTCCGGGTAAGCCATTTGAGTTCTGGTATTCTGGTTACCAGTCCCTTATCTGAGGCACAGTTAACAAAAATTCTCTCTCATTCCGAGCATTGTCAATTCACACTAATTATGGTGTCCTTTGCTGTTCAGAAACTTCTTAATCTGATGTAATCCCACCTGTCTATTTTGGGGATTATTGCCTGTGCTTTGGGAGTCTTGCTTAAGTCTTTGCCTACCCCTATGTCTCCCAGAGTTTCCCCAGTGTTTTCTACCTGGTTATCCACCTGCAGAAAGATGCATCTGAATCCCTATCTGTCACTATTAACAAAAAAAATCAACTCAAAGTGGATCAAAGATCTAAACCTAAGGCCCCAGAGCTTTTTTAGGAATTGGTGTGGTAATGAATGGAAAAAAAAAAAAAAAAAAATGGCCACTCACCCATTTACACTGCCAGTGTCTTAAATCAGTTAGGATGCAGTTCTAAGAGAAATGTAGCTTTTTACCTCCCTTTTTATCTCATAAGGCTGAAGGTCCCTAGGACTATGTGACAGGGACAAGGAGTGAAGTAGAGATGGAATAGGTCACTGAGGCTCTGCTTCAGGCACATGCAGGAGCAGGTACCGGACCTTCATTCTGGAACTGGGTATCTTAGAAGAGCTGCCCATGCACGTAACTGAAAAGTGAAGAAATAAAGTCGTGGGAATTTATTGGGGGGGGGGGGGGGTCTAAAAAAATTATTGAAGAAAAAGAGAGATTATTTTGACCTCTTTTAAGTGTGCTCCTGGGGGGGGGAGCCTACTAAGTAAAAGAAAAATATTTTTGCTGAGCTTTTACTATAAATAAATAATATGGGATTTATTTTCCCCTTGAAGTCAGTTTTATTCCAAATAAATTGATATTTAATTATCAGTATCCTCCTGGGCTCATCATTTTAGGTGGTGCATGAAGGTAGAAACTATATGTCATTCGGAATGTTCGATTTTCTTCATGTAAATCTGCTACAGCTATCCTTTTGTAGTCTAAATTAAATGTGGGGCCTTCTCCTTGACACAAACTAAAGTGAGGATCCAAGGAGAATTTATTGGCTTTGCTGGTAGATTGGTAGACTTGCTAAATTGCTTTGGGGGATTAATGTAATTCATGTTTTCTGTTGCTAACTGAAGCATATATCTTGTTACTCCCTCATGTTCTGCCCCAGGAGTTCCCTTTATGATGCATGAGAACAAGGTCAGAGGGGAGGGGGTTAAAAATTAGGAAATGAGGAAGGACATTAGGGAGAAAAATAGAGAGGCAAGGCATTTATGGGACAAAGAAAGGGGTTTTTCTCTGTGAAGATAACATGTACAGTATTCTCAACTGGATTGGTGAGAAATGTATACATGTTGAAATATTCACTTTGCAAGCTAAGTGACATATGTGATTGAATGTCTAAAAGAAATTGAAATAAAAAATATTTTTGAAAAATTAGGAAATAGGGGCATGAGCCAGAGAACTTCTGGTTGGCAGAAGTAAATACAGCTTTCTGAATAACGAAGGCATTATTCTGACTGGAAGCACAGACAGACCTGAGAACTGATCCCTTCTGCCTCCCAAACACATGCACTAGGTAGCTCATCTCTTCTTTAGATGCTCAGAGCTCCATGATTCCTATAGGAATGTATCCAAGGTAGCACACAGAACTGGAGTTTCATATCACATCCTCACTGATGAGTTACCTTATCAAGTATAAAGCTTTACAAATAATTCCAAGGATATAGGTAATCCCAAAGCGAAGGTGAAACAGGAAAATATTCAGGACCACCCGTGCAGCTCCAGGTTCTTTCTTGCAGGAGGAGGGTGTGTTGTGGCACAGAGTAACATATAGGATCTCTAAATGATACATGTCAGAGATAACACTTGAAGCAGAGCTATTGTAGTCATAAAAAGTATTCACGTTTTATTTAGATAGTTGCAGTTTATGTAACACTTTCCAGAGAGCCAAGCTGCACATTCCAGGTTTGTTTACCATAAAGAGTTCTAGACAGGCCAGATAGATCCTGTTAAAAGCATTCCATAGATAAGTACTCTCCTGCTAGCAAGTATCATTTGTTTATTTGTCAGAAAGTCTGTCATTAGTATGTTTACAATTTCTTTCTTTCCTAAAAGTGCTCCCATACCTAATTACAGCCCTCTATTCTTTCAAGGAAAGAGTTTAAATTACAGACCCGTTACTTAACTCTTCCCTTTCCAGTGTCAAAGTGAGCAAGAGACAATTACCCTAATAGGAAAAAATGGAAAGCCAGCATTCCTCTAGTTTGGGCAAAAATGATTCCAAATGGCCATAAGATAGTTAGAAATGATCGTGTCTCTATCAACTAGATGCTACTGGGTTGTAGGG